TATTATTATTATTATTATTATTATCATTATTATTATCATTATCACTATTATTACTATCATTATTATTATTACTATTATCATTATTATGATTACTATTATCATTATCACTATTATCATAATCATCATTAATTTTTATCATTATAATCATCATCATCATCAGTACTATCAAAATTCTCATTATTATTATTATTATCATAAAATTTTATTATGGGAAAAATTTGTCAAACAACATCCCGCGTTCACTATCGTCCGAATCCGTGCCCGAGGAATCGTTCCGTACCTGCGTGCCGAGAGGGAGAAGGAGCACACAAACTCAGCCTTGAATAAATGCTTCAAGTCACTGAAGATGGCATGGACGGTGACGCAGAAGACCGAGAACCATCCTAGATAACGCTGCAGGATGGAAAACTCTCGCCAAGTCAGCCTCGCGGATACGGACGGAAGGGAAGTGATGCCAAGTACTGCCAGCGACGCCGTTAGTAAGGCAGCTGTGGGGAGGGAAGGATCAGAGGAGGGTAGGAGGGTAGGAGGGTAGGAGGGAGGCAGGAGGGAGGGAGGGAGGGAGGGAGGGAGGGAGGGAGGGGGAGGGAGGGAGGGAGGGAGGGAGGGAGGTGGAGGGAGGAGGGAGGAGAGGGAGGGAAGGAGGGAGGAGGGAGGGAGGGAGGTGGGTAGGTGAAGGATGGAGGAAGGGTAGGATGGAGGGAGGGTAGGATGGATGGAGGGGAGGAAGGTAGAGGAGGGAGGGAGGGAAGGATGAGAAGGATGGGAGGAGGGAGGGAGGGAGGGAAGGAGGGAGGGTAGGATGGGAGAAGGAGGGTGGGAAGCATGAGAGGAGGTAGGATGGAGGGAGGGCGGGTAGGATGAGAGGCGGAAGGGAAGGAAAGGATGGAGGAAGGTAGGATGGATAGAGGAAAGAAGGGAGGGAGGGATGATAAGAGGAGGGTAGGAGGAGGGGGAGGGAAGGATGGAGGGAGGGAAGGATGGGGGAGGGAGGGTGGGTAAGATGGAGGGAGAAAAACAGGAGGGATGGATGGAAGGAGGGAGGTTAGGTGGAAATCAGGATTGGAGGAAGGATGGAGGGAGGGTAGGGAAAGGAAGGTAGGATGGAAGGAAGGGGGAGGAGGGAGGAAGGAAGGGTGGAGGGTAAGAGGAAAAGGAGAGGAAAGAAGGAGTGGTTAGATCAGCTGCTCTTGCTTGTGTATATATACAAGTATACACACTTTATGCAACCACACACACACACCACACACATACACACACACACGCACACACACATACACACACAAACCTCCAGAAACTATAACAAAAATACTCCAGCCCGGAAGTTGCAAAATGTTGCGCAAATTGACGCAAAAAAATCCCTCCTGCCTTTACCTTGTGTATATTGCAGTTTATTGCAAACGAACAGGCCAAGATGGTGACAAGAATATAATGATAAATAATATACACACACGAGCGAAGAGGGAGAAAGGAAGAGGGAGAAAAAAGGAAATACTGAGAGAGAAATTAATTAATGAAATAGGGGAATCAGGAGTAAAGCCGATAAAGAAGAGAAAAAGGAATAATATAAGGAAAGATAAAAGGAAAAAAAAGAGAAAGGGAAATAATAAATAGAATAAAAGATAATTCTAGAATAGAGACAGAAAGGATAAGTAACAGAGAAGGAAAAGAATAACAAAAAAAAGAAAAAAATCGCAAAGAAAGCAAAGCAAAGAAAAAAAAAAACGAAGGAAAAAATAGAGAAAGGGAAAAATGATAATTGAATGGAAAATACAAATAGAAAAAAAGAAATGAGGCAAACAAAACAAAAATACAACCAACAGATCGAAAACCGAACTGCACACACACACACACACACACACACACACACACACACACAGCAAAACAGGATATAGCCCAAATACAAATAAAATACACACAGGATACTCTAGGATACATACAACCAAGATGCAAATAGCTGAATACATAATGAGGGCTGGCTACATAGAGAAAAAAATGGAGACATACAGAGAGACAAAATACAGGCATAATACACTGCGGGAAAAAATGTGGACAGGATATATTTAGAAAAGATACATAGAACATAAAGACAGTAATGCAGACAGGATACAGATGAGATACAATGATACATACAGACAGATTACAGAAAAGAAACATGGTATAATTTGGGCTCACAGACAGACATAAAACTCAGACAGGACATACATTGATGTAATACACATACATAATACACATCAGACAAGACACACACACACAACACACACATATACACACACCTAATACACATAGACAAGACACATTCACACACACCTAATACACACAGACAACACACACACACATATACACCCAATAATAAACACATCTAAGACACAACACACACACACACACACACACAATCCACACACACACACACACACCACACACACACACATCCACACACAACCACACACACATACGCACACACCACACACACACACACGCAATCCACACACACACACAC